CAGTGAAGAGCTGCAAGGGTTACTATGTGTGCATGGGCCCCCACCATCTGGAAGCCTCCTCCGGAGAAGCGAGGCCCTCCAAAGCAGGATCTTCAGGGCCTGGCAGGCCTTCTACCATACAGGCGGCAGTTTCTCCTGCTCCCTTTCCCACACGTGGCATGTCAGCGGCCAGACTTTTTATCCATTAGCCGCGGCAACTGCTGGGATGGCTGCTCCGCAGGCAGACGGGGTGCCCGCGTGGAGAAGCGGTTTTGCACTCGGCAGCGAGTCCTGAACGGCTTCCGGGGCCGGGGCTGGAAGCTCAGGGCTCCGCGGGCCATGGAGGGTTTATGAGTTCCAGGAGTTAATAAACAAGGAGCTCAATATCCTCCGACTTTTGGAGAGTCAGAGGCATTTAAACGGATCCAGCCTGACCCTGAGGAAATGAGGGTTTACGCAGGCAAAGCTGCTGGTCCTTGCACCCTGGTGTCCAGCTGAGGACACGGGGAGGGCCCTGGGGCAGCGCTGACCACGAAAACAAGGCGCAGCCCTGACCTGGGCCCAGGGCAGGCGAGAATGAGGTTTGGAGAGTCAGTGGGCCTGGCTCCAGGGCTTGTATGTACTTGGAAAAGCCACTTAACTTCTAGAACTCGTGCCTCCCCGTAAATTCAAGTTGCCACATATCTACTTTTCAGATACACAGAACGAGAACATATAAGGAAGAAATTTCTGAGATATGAATGATACACTAATGTAAAGTCAAATCAGCAATGGTTATGACACCACCCATGACAAGCCGTGACCAGGTGGTCCCTTCACTCAACCTGCACCTCCATTAGTAAAACTAAAGGCGCTGCTGGTCTTCCGCTGGGTTGATTTGGGGCCAGGAAAGGTCAAAATCGTCTGCCCAGTGGGTGGCTCTGAGACACTTTTGTGTTCTCTCTGTAGTTCGTGTCCGCACCGCACGACAGGGCTTCTCAATTTTGTCTGAAAACTATCAGAGTAACCCGGGGAGCTATAAAAAAATTTTTTTCAGCGCCCACATGTCCCTCCTAGAGATTCTGAATTAATTGGTCATGTTTGGGATCTGAGCATCAGTATTTAAAAATGATTTTTATTGCTGTAAAACATACACAGAATTGACCATTTTGACCACTTTCCAGCCTATGTTTCCGTGGCATTAAGTGCTTTCACGACGTGCAAGCTTAACAATCAGAACTTTTCACCTTTCCAAACTGAAACTGTCCCACTAAACAAGACGTCCCCTCCCCCAGGCCTTGGGAGCCACCATTCCACTCTCAAGGTGCCTCAGATGAGTGGAGTCATGCACTATTGGGCCTACGACATCAGTATTTTTTAAAATCTCACCGGCTGGTTCTCTGCGCAGTTAGGTCTAGGGGGTAGTGCCAAGTAGGGGGTGCGCATGAATTCATCTTTGGGAAAAGAGACTAGCATGGGGGCGTAAGTGGGGGTGATGGTGGGAAAGGTGCAGGGACAGAGAAAAATGATAGGGGAAAGTTCAAATCTCTGCCCAAACCACACTTAAGCCAGGTGTTATTTCCATGGAAAGTCAGCCAGAGGGGACAGGCTGTGTTTGTCAGGGAGACTGGCTGCAGCAAGGGATTTTAAATCCTACAACCTGGGTTTGAGTCCTTGCTCTGCTGCTGAGTCACCCAGTGCCTTTCAGTGAGCAATTGAACTTCATCCAGACTCATTTTCTCCATCTGCAAAATGGAGATAATAATATCTTCCTCCCAGGGATGGTGCCAGGCCCGAGAGCAGAGGCCCAGCACGCGGATGTGCCTGAAGCATCAGAGGATGCTACACAGATGACAGTGTGGCTGCTACTACAAACGCACAACAAACGCTTCCATCTGTAATTACTCAAGTGCATGAGCCTTGATGACCAAAGGTGGAGAGAGCACAACTGTCAGGGCTGAGTCCAATCTATGACCATAAAGTATTTCATAAAGGGGCTTAAAGACTGTTACAAGTCAATTTTTAAAAGCTAGTCTTACTCCCTGGGCACCAACAACCCTTAGAGAGTGCAACCATTTTCAAGAGCAGAGCTGGGGGGGTGACTATGCCATGTTCAAGTCAAAAGGCGTTCTCATTTGGTAAGCGCATTGAAGAAGCATTAACAGACATCATCTCCTGAATTTCTTTCCTTTGTGCTCGATGCCAGCACCTGCCCTGGGTGAGGTGCACACACACACACACACACACACACACACACACGCACAGCTTGGTGCTTTAGATGGACTCTGGGTTTGTTTGGGGCTCTGTGTGAGTCTCAGTTTGAATGAGATGGAGCCAAGGCTGTAGGATGTGTTCTCTTTATTTTTCCATTTAATATTTTAAAAAATAAGGGTAGGGATTAGAGAAAAGCAGAAGAGCGCAGGGGGGAGGAGGGAGAAATGGAGGGACATCTTTGTTTTGCTAATGCACTTTGTTTTGTGGCTGATGGCCCTGCAGACAGATTGGGACCACCTCACCAGGGGGAGGCGGGGAGGCGACTGAGCAGCGGGACAGCTCAAGTGGAAAGCGTTATTGGGGACAAAAGATGCACCTGCAAAGCGCAGCCTTAATCGTCTCTAGAGGCCAGGGCCAATGTGGGGAGATAAATGCCGGGCACCACCTGAATGCGATCCTGGCAGCGTGCATTTGCCTGGATGCTACAGTTAATTCATTTCAGAAGAGGGCCGCTGCCCAGCTAGAGCGAGCTGCGCCCAAGACGCCTCAATAAGCCCGGCGGCCTTACAAATGCGCCCACTGTACACAAAAGGGCCCGGGGAGGGACGAGCAGGGCGGCAGGTAGAGGATCGGGCTGAACGCTGAGACCCCTGGGGGAGTCGTGTGTTGGTTACTAATACAGTTGAACTCAGACAAACTAGTTTCTAACCTAAAACCTGTATTTTAAATCCAATATCAAAAATAATCTCACTGGCTCTGCCCCAGAGTCTCGTTAGTTAATACTGACACTGTCAGCCAGCCTTAGCCTGTGGGGCTGGAGGAACTTCCAGTGACCGACCAACCTTCCTTCCTTCCTTCCTTCCTTCCTTCCTTCCTTCCTTCCTTCCTTCCTTCCTTCCTTCCTTCCTTCCTTCCTTCCT